ATCGAAATTGCAAAAAACCCCCATGCTTAAAATATAAATCGCTTCTCATTATAAAGGCCTAACCTTGTTCCACTGCTGGAGTAGTTTAACAGTAAAGTGACTAATCCCATTGAGCGGTGCTGGTGTTAAACTGATATAACATTAGTTTTAGGCTTACGTCTGCTGGGTGCTAATAAATACTTTAGAACTTCCCATGGTCTGAGGCGAGGGGATTAAAAATAAAATTAAAATGCTTCACCATTTATGTAAACTGCACATGTAAGAGTGGGTGATGTAGTCACAATACAAACAAGAGCTGGTATAATTTATGCAGGTTGTACATGATGGCTAGAAGTAGCTGCTAAATTGGCTGACTTCTCTGGTGTGTTCACATCTGTTAGGTCACTAATGCCTGTACTTGCCAAACCTTGGTGACAAAAAGTCCTCAAGATGTTTAGGAGAGATTGTTTTCATGTTCAGGCAAGTGATTTACACCTACCTGCCTGTTTCCCCTGGTCTGCTCCTGCTCTGTTGGACCACAGTAGAGCTCCCCTGATGACTGGCTCAAAAACTTCCTTCCCATGAATGTTGCAATTATTTCCCTTTCACATAAATAACACTAGGAAAATCCTAAAATCCTAAATAATAAAGTCACTGCTTTAGGAAATTACTGCTGATACACAAGGGTAGAAAACAAAATGCCACATGTGACACCAAAATTGAAGATACTGATTTCAATGCCATCTACATCTCAAAAAAAGAAAGTTTAGATTTGTTATCTGCAAATCCTCAGCAATTGTAAAATACTAAACTTGGTAGTGCACCAATACTTACAGCACTCCTTTTCATGCTCTGAACTCTGAGTTAGGTGCCTACTCATAGAGATTAACTGGCTTCTCACATGCAAGATTTTCAGAAATTTTTAATTTTTTTTTAGTAAAATCTAATGTAAATGTTGTTGCTGATTAATCACAAGATCCATGGGAGTTAGCTTACCCCACAGGAGGGTACATGTTTTTTCTTGTTACCATGGTTTTTTTTGATAATAAATTTCCAGGGAAACTTACAATTCAATTAGAGTATCCACTGCCTTGTGAAAGCAAAACCTAATTCTGAATTGATTGGTCCAAGAAGTCTGTGAAAAGTATACAGGAATTATTTTTAATGGCTTGACTTTGCAAGCTTTTTTTAATACCTTGAAATTATTACACAAATTATTGAAAAAAACTACTTTGATAAAAAAGGAAAGGAATGAGTAGTTCTATCTTATTCAGTGGATTTTAAGCTGTCATTATCTTAGCTTCAGATGAGTGTGACAAAAAGTTTTAGATGTTGTAACTTCACTGATTCTAAAAGTACCAGTAATCTGAATGTAGTTTCTTTTTATTTATACTGTGTGATCTAAGCCTTTCCTTTTTCCACATCAGACTTACACAAGAAATGCACATTTTTCTTTTTTTTGTTTGTTTGTTTCTGGGTGGGTTGATTTGGTTTCGTTTTTTACATGAAATGACTGTGTAAGGTGATATTTGGGGTTTGCTTCTATGTATTTTGGAAAACTTCTAGTTCTCTAAGAAGATGATTCTTTTTCTTCTGCAATCATTCCCATTACAATGTCAGTTTGGAAAAGGACAGACTAATCTAACCCTTTTAGAAAGATATTCCAGCAGGCAGACTGACAGAATGCACAAGTTGGGGTGTACCCCTTCCTTATATCCTCAGTACTCTTTCCTCCCTCATCTTCACCTAGAGGTTAACACACTGAGAGCCTTCCTGAGAGCAGGAGAGACCAAACACTTGATGCCTAATCCTTTGCCACTCTAGTTTCTGAAGTATTATAGCAGTTGTAAACATACATTTCTGGCAGCCTTTTTTGCCAGGATACCCATGGACAAAGCCATTTGTTACAACTTCACTTACTCAAAGAATAGTGATACACTGGTCTGGTCTAGTGAGACAGGACTGTCTACATAAGCTTTGTGTAAATACATAACATAATCTGTGTATGTAACAGGTTTAAAATCTGTTCTCTACAGAGTTTTGTCTCTGTGCGCTCATACTTCAGCCAAATTGTCATCGCTTTTTCCTTTCTCTTCTATTTTCTCATTATTACCATTTTTAAATTTATTTACAATATTCACTTGGATTTATGAATGTGTATTAAAGTCTCTTTGATAAGAGAGAAAAAATTATTATACACTGTATAAGACCCATTTCAGAAAGAGAAGATAATTTACAACTTTGTAAAATTACTATTTCTAAATTACATATGTGTGTACACAGGTGCAATACAGAAGGGTCTAACAGCTAAAGCTGACAAAAAAAATGAGAGACCAACTGTTCTTTTTTCGTCTTTAAAAATCTCAGTGTCTCTGTAATAAATATTGAGAATCACAGATTTTTAACTTCTGTGTTTTCTAGTGCAAAGATAAAGAATGTATCAGCAACCGTATGTTATGTTCTAGACAATCAAATACAAGAATAGTTAAACAGTTGCCTTTTTGTAATACTTCATCCAGTCCAATGTCTTTGACTCCAAGAAGTACTGTAAGTTAACTGCAATATGTCTTCTGTAAAATACTAATCCATAGTGTGAGATTTACAAGTAAAATACAGCAGCCTAAACATATCTACTAAAATGTGACTATTAGATTCAAGTCAAGATGAAACCTACCCTACTCAGAAAAAATGATGTTTCAATGATTTTGCTTCACTAAGGGCAATAAACTGCCTTTATGTACTTTTATTTTCAGTAATATTTTTTCTTATTTCATTTTTTTTTTTTAGGAATTTACAGTAGCATGGGAAACAAAATTCAGCTTCCATATAGCTATATATGTATTCTTCCAGTTCTGTCTTTACTTGCATCTAAATCCTGGTAACAGTTGTTTTGTAGTTCCCATGGGAAGAACAGTTCAATGGTAAATTAAATTGTTACTTTTGGTTTTTTAAATTACAATTCACATTCTTCCTTTTTGTTTTCTTTGTCAAATAAGTAAACTTAGGCAGACGTTAAAATATAACATACCTGAGTGTAATTCAACAGCCTCTGGTGTGTAAGTAAGCTCTCTGGGTCATGGGGACCTGGATATACACACACATCTACAGAAAGAACATTCCTGTAATTGTAGTAACATGCAGTCAGTGGCATGTTCATTATGATCTGTTGTAGCCATATCTGTTTCCAGTGCTAAATGTTAATATCTTTGGATGCCCAAAGGTACTTAGTGACTGTAAAAATACAGATGTTTATATACTTGGGACTCAGAGTCAGGTTCTTTTTAATTTGGCTGTGTCAATGGATGCATTTTGAAAGATTTTGTATGTGTGGCTCTCATTCAGTACATACCTCCCTCCCTGCAAAAGCTACAAAAAAATCCAACAAACAGAAACACAAAACCACAACACCTCTCTGTTAGACAAAGTTGTGATAATTTTTAATGTAATTTTTCCCTATGTGAAGCATGGGTGTCAAAAAAAACCTTGGAAAAAAGAAAACAGAACAAATGCCAAGAAAACCTGTTGCAAAGTTCTGAGTTCCTTTGGCTGAATTTGTAATCAAGCTCTTTTTTGGGTTCAGTCTGAAACAAGGTGTTGTAGGGTCCCCCTTTCCCATCCTCTCTCCCTAGCTCCTTCTCCCTTGAACCTACTCGTGGGCTGTGTCCTGGCACCCTGTGCTTCCAGCATCACTCCCCTTGCTCTCCCAAAATGTCGGGGGTGGTTAGAATTCATCAGGTCACACCTCAGCCTGTCAAGGCACGGCGCCTCCTTTGCCCTGCTTCAGCCCATCGCTTCATTTCATCTGCACAGAGCCTGGCGACGAGCTGGCCTTGTTAGACTCAAATAACCATGGCCAGCCAAAAAGAACTGGCTATTTCCTTCCCACTTACCTGCTACATCCCCTCAACTGTTGTTGGACCAGCCGGCACTTTTAATAACTGCAATCCAGTCCACAGTAGAGAGGCAAGTACATACATGTGCAGGCACATGCAGCCATTGAGTCAAGTAAAAGAGAACCTCTGGTTTTGAGCTGAGGGTGAAGAGAACCAGGTTACACCCACAGCCTTTTCCTCACCTGACATCCTCCTTTCTCCCCTTCCTCTCCCAGCTCCACAGTGCCTGCAGAAACTACTCTTTCCTCTTTCCCCTCCCTTGGTCTGATACTGTGTTTTCTTCAAGACATTTGTCTCCTTCAATCTAACTAACCCCAGCATGCCCTCCTTCCCAACATCACCATCACCACTTCCTTTCCACCTCCATGTCTCCTGTAGATTCATTAGTTTTTAGCATCCTTCTTTCTTCCTGCCCAGTCTGAATCTGGAGAGGCGACATGAGTTGAAGAGGTGAGGTCTCAATTCTGGCAAACCCTGCTGCCTCATTTGCAACACAGTTCCATTGTCCCCTTTGCCTCCTGCTGGCTTCCATTCCCATCTCTGCACATGGGGAGATGACAACTCAGGTACAGAAATGTGGGATTCTTGGCCAGAGTCTTCTTTTGGGGCTAGGACAGAAGGATAACCCTGTAAACATGACATTACACACAGTACATACACAACTGAAACTCAACTCTTTATTTCATAAATACTCTATATTAGAGCTGATCATCCCTTTTTTATTATATGTTGTCCTGTCAAGCCCAACAACTTAATGGTAACAGCAGCTTAAGAGCAGAATCAGTACAGCACCGAGTGTATTTAAGATCACTAGAGAGTCAGATTTGTGTTTTTACATAGGAAATCTTCCAGAGAAAATCTAATAAAAATGCATTGCAATATATTCTATATAAAGATGTCTACACACAATATAACAGTAAAAGTGAAAAGTGAAAACCTTTTGTGCACAAACATAAAATTTAGAAAGTATTCTGCTCATAACTGAGTAAATAATTCATTGTTTTCACACTGGGAACATACAGTTCTACCTTCTTTGTTGCATATGTATCTATTTCTAACTTCTACCATAAGGAAAGCAACATTTAAATTTGTTTGGTACTGTTCAACAAAACCTGACATTTTCCTGGCATTTTTGTGAGGCTTAGAAAGAACAGATTAATTTCTTCCATGGGTAGTTTGAATGCTGCTATGTTGACAAAAATAACTACATCAATAAATTGTGGACACATGCTGGAGAAAGCTGTTGATAGCAGAGCAATATCTGGATTTTGGAATCTGAGCTGTTCTCCAGCGGGTGCTGAAGTATTTCCTAACAAGAAGCAAGAATATGACTTCAGTACAATATTGGATTGCTTATATCTCTTTGTTGTTTTTGCAAGGCATCTTTGCCTTTTATTGGGAATGAACAGCAAAACTGTTCTCAGGCTCTTTTTGTCCCCTTTTGAGCGTAACTGTAACTGCATCTTCTCCCCTTTCCTCCCTTTATTTTCCTTTCTCCATCCCCTTTAAGTTGTAATTCAATCTCTTCCAACTCATGATCTCTTTTCTTATTTTGGCACTGCCTCCATGCTCTCCCTCTCATTAGTTTAACTTGAGTTAATTAGGAATAGTAGGCAGCCCTCAATCTGTTATGTGTTAAAATAGAACAATCCAAAACAGAGAGGCACAGACACAACTATGTGATTTCATTGTCTACGGGAGACAGAAAAACAGTGGGGATTCCCTTATCTAGACTAACATCTTCCCAATGGTTAATCTAACTGGCTTAAAATGTTCTGCAAATGCAGATTTAAGATAACAATCTTTTCGTGTTTCCTTTACTTTTTTTTTTTTTTTTTTTTTTTTCATCATTGGCAGGAATGAGTGAATTGGATTGACATGGAGGTGATAGAGGAAGAGAAATAGTCTACATGTCAAAATGACAATGTATATTACATGGTTAACAGAATGAGTGGTACGTGCAATGGCTACGGGTATTTCCATCTGCTGTGTTGTACAATGAGCTCCTTTTTTCTCCCGTAAGTGTATCAACAAGATCACTCCCAATTCAATGCCGATTAAGTGTTTGCTTGAAGGATCTTTTTCTATAAGTAATATTACTTCATAAATGTGGAACTGAAGTAAGAATCTAAATATTCACTTGTTGCTATTACCGAATTGTAGATATATAGAGGTCATGCCTGCTACTCTGACTGTAGTGCTGATCACAGCTCTTAGGACAGAGTGTGCTGTGGAAGTGAACTATAACAGATCTAAGAAATCAAGCCCTGATTGTAAAGGTAAGGCCTTGCACTTTTGATTGACTACATATGGTACTGTTTGAGTGAAATGCATGCTCAGGAAAGAAAAGTATAACTCTGCAAATATTACAAAAATACATACCTGTATAAAATCTGTATTTGCCTGTGTGCTTTTATGCTTATGCATGTATATATAAATACATAAATACATAAAGTTTAAGCCTTCAAAAAGAGCTGTGTAAGATTCATGGACTATCAACGGCCACATTTATGGCAGTGGTTACATTAAATTGCTAATTCCATATGTAAGTGCCTGAATGCATTTGAAGATTCATGGCAGTGACTAGTGTTAATAATTTATCCATTTATTAGCAATGCGAATGCAAATATGCTTTGAACTTAAAAGAATTACAGGAGTGTTTTTGAAATCTGATATCCAGGAAATGAATGAAAAATCTATTTGAAAAAGGGAGGAAAGAAAGATACGAAAGTACTGCAATCAAAATGTCATTATATATATTCAGAAAAATTCATTTCCTTTATGTCAAAAACCATCTCTTCATGATGGGAAAATATCACACTAATGGGGCACAAAAAGAATGTGTAGTGAAAAACAAAATACAAGCTTGATTATCAGGATGTTCAAAGCATTGGGGAAGATAAAATCCCCTCAGAAAGATGCCCTTGGCAGTTTATTTTCGGAGTGTTTGTGGGAGTTTCTAGCTGGACAGAATCAATGTGAGACCAAATAAGGAGATGTTGCACCAAGTTTAGGGGATTTTTATAGCTTACGGTTAGTATAGTAATTGCTTATTTCCCAAAATATTAGCACAATTATATGAAAATTGTACTGGATCCAGTGAGAAGAAACAGACTTGGCCCTTATAATGATCTTTTGTTTGATCTTTGCTTTATATAGTTAGGTAAAAGTGCAGTGATGGGTGTTGGTGCAGTTTAAATAAAAAATGAAAAATACTTTTATTTTTCCATGTAATTAAAAGAATTTACAGTAACTATTCTGTTTCAATATTGATTATTAAGACTGTTTAATTTACACTTTTTTTTTTCTTTCTATAAGTCTGATAGATCACAATGTGAGAGCTGCAGAAGAAAAAGTTATAAATACGTGATTTAATAAAAATCCACAACATTATTAATTTATACACTGGATGACTAATAATTTTATAATTTTATGCAGTGTTGACTGTATCTAATTTTACATAGATGCTGAAGCATCTTCAGAAAGCCATAAAACACCTATGAACTCACATATTGAACAATTGTTTAGTTAGAAAGTAAAATAGAAGGGAAATTAGTGAAATTAAATTAATCTAACATGTATCTAAGAGATACTACAAGGTATATACCTGTAGAAAAGCAAAACATAACTGCCATTGTACCACACAAGGTAAACATATTGGTGATTTTTAAAAGCAACCATATTGAAGCAGACTAGAACCACAGTTTCTGTTGTTCCTCTTTGCTTTCCCCATGTAAAACTGATGTGCAAACTCCTGAAAATGCTCTGTGCCTATAAAGCAAACATTTCTGTACAACACACACAAAACCCGTCTTCCATCAGTATATATATATACTGGCATGACAAAAGTAGGACAAAGGTGGTGTTTTGGTCTGAAAATAACAATTTTAGTATATAATAAACTATGGCTAGTATTTGCAATGACTTGAGTAGAATGACCCTATAAGATTGTTATGCAATGCAAAGAGAATTCTGCAGTCCTGAGTGTTTCCAGTTCACTACTATCTATGAAATTTAGTCCAGACAGGATTTCCACAGCAAGCTGTTGTATTGGGTATGAGACTTTGTCAAAGCTGTGGAATGCAGGATCAGATAATAAACAACCTACAGTGCCAAGAGCAAAGTAAGTCTTAAAATGCACAAATAATGCAAGGGTGTCTGTGTTCTGTGGGAGTTAGTGGCACATAGCTATGCATTCATGTGTTTATTTAACCATTTGGTTTCATTAAGATTTTGGATGATGTCTGTCTTACTTGACAGCATTGGTTTTTTTCATCTTAGTACAGCAGCCTATGAAGAACCTATGAAGAAAATATTTTCCTATTTTATCCAGAGATATTTGAGAGGCTTTATATTTTAATAACGGAGAAGATATCTAAAATTATTAGGACAAAAAATTGACAGATTCTTACAGTAATGGGGTCACTCACACAAAATGTCCTTTCCTTTTTTGAACCTTGACCATCCCTTTTCACAAACACTCCCTTTTAATCCACTGCATGGTATTACATAGAGTCTCTGTTTCTGCAAATCCTCACCATCAGGCAAAGCACTTTCTATTTTGAATAACCATGCTGAATTTTCCATGTTGGCTGTCCAGCTACACATACACATCTATTTGACAAAATGTCTTTACATGATGCTCAGGTTAGTATCTTTTCTTTATTTTATCATACTGTTTAAGCTTGAATTTCAGTAAAATAAAATAATTTCTCTTGCTCTCTAACTTCTATTATAATTAATAATTATTCCAGAACTTTTAAAGACAGTTTACCACACTAAGTATTAACCTAAACAAGCACATTTTCTTACTTTGTGATCAGATCAGGGGGGATATAAAGAAGAACTCAGAATTTTATTTGGAGATATTTGTGAAGTTATGACATTGTCATGTGTTTGGAATTTCAAAACTTTTTCCAAAACAAAATCCCATTATTTATTTTAAGAAATATTCTTTGTGGTCTCTGTATAAACTGAACAATGAAATGTTTTACAGAAATATGATAATATGTTGTCAGTGTGTATTATTTAACTAGCTCTACACTTCAGTTCACTACAAAATTAAATACTAGATAACATACAAAGGGAATGATTTTACAACAGCATATCAAAACTTCATTGCTTTCAAGTTCACTCAATTTCCACAGTGCCAGCATGGCCCGAAGCCTATTCCTCTATAATAACAAAAAATCCACACAAGAATAATAAATTTGGTTTTCACTTGCATTTAAATACACATTTTGTACAACTGCAGCTGCACTAAAACCAGAAAAGACACTATAGCCCAATCTAATAAAATGTTAATATTTTTTTGTATTACATGTGTTAAACAAAGAAAAAAAATGGGAAAATACATCACTAGACTAATATTATTGTAAAAAACTTCTGCACTTTTCTTTCAGAGGTTCTTATGTTGATCATCCTTCTATCCAAATAATGCTACCTAAGATTATAGGTTTTTTATTGTATTAGGTGAACGGAAGATACAGTTCTCCAAACACTGAACAGTTGACTTAATAGTCACCTTTGATTTAATATGAACTTGCATGACTTTTCTAGGTAGATGAACCTGCTCTCAACTTGAATATCATGTAATTTCCCCTCCGAGAACAGATAATATGTACTTTTTCCAAGAATAATTGTATGTAGAAACAGCATTTTCTCCACTTTTTTTTCAGAATTGTGGCAATATTCTCATCCACTATGAATTAAGTATCCTTGGCAATGCAGTCTCCTTTGCTGGAGACATACAAAACCCACCTGGACACATGCCTGTGTGATGTATTCTAGGTGATTCTGCTCTGGCAGGGGGGTTGGACTGGATGATCTTTCAAGGTCCCTTCCAACCCCTAAGATTCTGTGATTCTGTAATGCAGGACACTTTACAAAGCAATGAGTTTCTGTTGCTAAGAACTTATAATGTTGGGAAGATATTAAACAAGTCTTGCACACGTATTACACAATTATTGCAAGTATCTTTTTATTAATACTCTTCCATTTGATTTCTGAAATTAAATCAGGTACATGGATATGGTGATGAACTAAAGGCAAAATGAGATGATACTGATAAAAGACAGGAAAAAGGGAAGTGAGTCTTGTGAAAAACAGACTACAAAGTGTGATGATTCATAGATGGTGAACTTCATCCTGATATTGCAATTACATTAATGCTTAGAGTTACTTGTAAGAGAATAACAAAAGGGAATATATTCCTCTGTACCAAGTATCCTAGCTGCCAGCTTTACTACTTGTAGTGTAGTGAAGTGATTTAAAACAAGGCAAAAGAAACACAGAAGTATTAAAAAGAGCCATGAAAGAGAAAACAAGTTTCAGTGTTAGAAGAAGAGCCCGTATAAGGTCACAACTATGGTGATTATTGATTAGAGCAAAATGGAAGAAAACTGATTTTTAAAACGCTGCAGTTTGAGCCCCAGCTCCCAGCAACTGATAAGTATTACAGTGGCTGTAGGAATATTTCTCTTTGAAAAGCATATCACAGAGGTATGGGTGCTTATGCACTGAAAGGATGTAAGTTGTCTGCTTGTGCTGTCACTGAGGTGCTGAAAGGGGGATTTGGCTATCATTAAACTGTAATGGGAAAACACATTGCAAACTAAGAAACTAAAATTTTCTGCTGAAGTCTTTTTCAAACAATGTTGCATATGTTTTCTCAGCTGGTTTAAATAGTTCAAGATATTCCATTCTCTTTGATTCTAATGCATATCTTAGGCCACAGTAGCTAAGTGTTCATATAATCAGACCCATCTTTATCTTCAGTAGTGTTCTAAGTTTTAGCTGGTATGTAGTCTGATAATCTTTCCTTTCTCACTTGCTACTCACTCCAGTATCTTTGCTTTTTTATTTTTGGTTTGGTAAAAGTATTCATACTTGTGTGTGCTGAATTAGTATGAAATTCAAGGTGAAACTTTGAGATAACAGAATTTTTGCTTAGTCTTAAGTTAAAAGTGTGCATCTTTCCTGATTATTATAGGAAAGTAGTTTTATGCAAACCTTATCCTGAGTGAAACTGTGAATTTATGTTGGTTGTGAAAGGCTAAATACTCTCTCCCATGGCCTGCAAAACTTCTGTGCAGTGTAGTTTGGCAAGCTAACTAAACATGAGAGTGTAGCAGTACTTTAACTGTTCAAGACGAATTTATAACTTTAACTATATGCACCTTGTTTTCCAGAGAAAAATTGTAAGGAATAAATCGTAACTCTACCCTCAACCGCAGTCGCCTGCCTTTGATTCATTTTTGCCTCTCTGCTTTCTCCAGAA